AGTGTGTGAGTGTGTGAGTGTGTGAGTGTGTGAGTGTGTGAGTGTGTGAGTGTGTGAGTGTGTGAGTGTGTGAGTGTGTGAGTGTGTGAGTGTGTGAGTGTGTGAGTGTGTGAGTGTGTGAGTGTGTGAGTGTGTGAGTGTGTGAGTGTGTGAGTGTGTGAGTGTGTGAGTGTGTGAGTGTGTGAGTGTGTGAGTGTGTGAGTGTGTGAGTGTGTGAGTGTGTGAGTGTGTGAGTGTGTGAGTGTGTGAGTGTGTGAGTGTGTGAGTGTGTGAGTGTGTGAGTGTGTGAGTGTGTGAGTGTGTGAGTGTGTGAGTGTGTGAGTGTGTGAGTGTGTGAGTGTGTGAGTGTGTGAGTGTGTGAGTGTGTGAGTGTGTGAGTGTGTGAGTGTGTGAGTGTGTGAGTGTGTGAGTGTGTGAGTGTGTGAGTGTGTGAGTGTGTGAGTGTGTGAGTGTGTGAGTGTGTGAGTGTGTGAGTGTGTGAGTGTGTGAGTGTGTGAGTGTGTGAGTGTGTGAGTGTGTGAGTGTGTGAGTGTGTGAGTGTGTGAGTGTGTGAGTGTGTGAGTGTGTGAGTGTGTGAGTGTGTGAGTGTGTGAGTGTGTGAGTGTGTGAGTGTGTGAGTGTGTGAGTGTGTGAGTGTGTGAGTGTGTGAGTGTGTGAGTGTGTGAGTGTGTGAGTGTGTGAGTGTGTGAGTGTGTGAGTGTGTGAGTGTGTGAGTGTGTGAGTGTGTGAGTGTGTGAGTGTGTGAGTGTGTGAGTGTGTGAGTGTGTGAGTGTGTGAGTGTGTGAGTGTGTGAGTGTGTGAGTGTGTGTGTGTGTGTGTGTGTGTGTGTGTGTGTGTGTGTGTGTGTGTGTGTGTGTGTGTGTGTGTGTGTGTGTGTGTGTGTGTGTGTGTGTGTGTGTGTGTGTGTGTGTGTGTGTGTGTGTGTGTGTGTGTGTGTGTGTGTGTGTGTGTGTGTGTGTGTGTGTGTGTGTGTGTGTGTGTGTGTGTGTGTGTGTGTGTGTGTGTGTGTGTGTGTGTGTGTGTGTGTGTGTGTGTGTGTGTGTGTGTGTGTGTGTGTGTGTGTGTGTGTGTGTGTGTGTGTGTGTGTGTGTGTGTGTGTGTGTGTGTGTGTGTGTGTGTGTGTGTGTGTGTGTGTGTGTGTGTGTGTGTGTGTGTGTGTGTGTGTGTGTGTGTGTGTGTGTGTGTGTGTGTGTGTGTGTGTGTGTGTATAACGCATAACTCATGAACCGATACACAGAAAAACACCAAATTTTAAACTTAAGCTTTGTTTCAGCCTCCAATGAGCTGATTAGATTTTGGGCAGTGTCGGAACATCTGGGGGGGTACTTTATAGGTGGTCATTTTTATATTTTATGGAATATATGTTATTTACGTTTGGAGAAGAAAATTCTTCAAATAAAAGTTACTTCTAATATAATTATCTATAATTTTTGTTTTATGCGAAATTTTCCTAAAATGGTCCGTATTCGAGAAATTTGACAAAATGTAAAAAACATAATTTTTTATAAAAATTGTTCAAATAAAAGTTGTTTATAATATAATTCTCTATAATTTTTGTCCTATACATAATTTCTCTAAAATGGACCGTATTCGAGATATTTGAGAAAATGTGTAAATTTCGAAATTTGAAGAAAACTCAAAAACGGATAAAGGAAAAAACATTAAATTTTAAACTTAAGGTTTATTTCGGCCTGACGTGAAATGATTAGATTTTGGACAAAGTTGGAACATCTGGGGGGGTACTTTATGGGAGGCCGTTTTTATATTTTATGGAATATATCTGTTATTTATGTTTGGAGAAGAAAATTGTTCAAATAAAAGTTACTTCTAATATTATTATCTATAATTTTTGTTTTATGTCAAAATTTACTGAAATGGTCCGTATTCGAGAAATTTGACAAAATGTGCAAAATTCTGATTTTTATGAAAATTGTTGAACTAAAAGTTGTTTGCGATATCGATTTCTATAATTTTTGTTTATACATGATTTTTCTAAAATGGTCCGTAATGGAAAAGTGCTAAATTTAAATTTTTCTGTATTTTCGTTTTCAATGAATATCTATAGAAAAATGTTTCGAGGTAGATGTATGTGTAAAATGTATATATTTAGTTTATCCTCTAAACATTTATAGAGATGCTGCAATAGGTTGTACAAAATAACCGGAAAATGCCTATAATAACTAGATAGGAAAGTCATGTGTTGGACACATCAGATTTTTTTTTTTATATTTCTGTTGATACAGAAGTTCCTCAAGGGAGTGTTCTAGGACTTCTTTTGTTTATTTTATAACTCAATTATATACAATTGTATGTAGATATAGAGTTTATAAACTTAGTTGCAGACGATATGCTTATAATATGCACTGATATAGATTTGCAAGTAGCAGTGAATAAAATGAATTCAATATTAAATAGACTTAGCATATATCTGCAAAATAATAAACTAAAACTTAATGTTGTTAAAACCAAAGCTATGATTTGTACAACTAAATACAAATATAGCAAAATTAAATTAAATGATATATCTCTAATGGTGAACAATAAAAATATTGAAATATTTTCAAATTTTAAATATCTTGGTTTTTACATTGATAATATTTTATCCTTAGACTCTCATTTTAATTATATTTATAATAAAATTTCCAAAAAGTTATTCTTTTTTAGTAAAAACTAAGTTAATTATACGAGGTCTGTAAATTAAGTAATGAGACTGATTTTTTTTTTAATTTTTTATACAAAAAGAATTACAATTCAATATTGTCACCTTCAAAATAACTTCCTTCTGAGGCCACACAGCGCTGGAGACGTTTCTTCCACTCCTCATAGCAGTGTTGGAACTCCGATACTGAAATAACCTTCAGCTGGTCGGTTACAGCCGTTTGAATTTTTTCGACTGTCCCAAAATGATTTCCCTTGAGGTGACTGTTCAACTTTGGGAAGAGAAAAAAGTCACAAGGACTCAAGTTAGGCGAATAAGGAGGCTGAGGAGCCACAGGAATGTTTTTACTGGCCAAAAACTCGTTTATTGAAATTGCTGTGTGACAAGGAGCATTATCGTGATGCAACACCCACTTGTTCTTGATGTTTGGTCTCACACGAATGACCCTTTTTCGAAGTATTTCAAGAACCTCTCGGTAAAAGTGTTGATTGACCGTTTGACCTTGGGGTACAAACTCTTTGTGGACGATTCCGTGGATATCGAAAAAACAAATCAGCATGCATTTGATCTTTGACTTCGCCATCCTTGCCTTTTTTGGCCTTGGAGAGGTTGAAGTGTGCCACTCAATGCTCTGGCGCTTGGTTTCTGGGTCGTACTCAAACACCCAAGTCTCGTCACCAGTAATGACACGTTCCAGAAAATGGGGGTCATTTTCAATTGAATCCAAAAAGTCAAGGCACCTTTGCTTCCTGATGTTCTTTAGGTCTTGCGAAAGGTTTTTTAGAACCATTTTTGCGCAGATTTTTCTCATCCCCAATTCATTGGTCAAAATTTGATGAACGGTGGTGTGAGTCAAATTTAACTCTTCCCCTATCATTCTAACTGTCAACCGACGATCTGAACGCACAAGATCCCGGATTCTGTCGACATTTTCATCGGTTCTTGAAGATGAAGGCCTTCCGCTTCGTGGTTCATCTTCAATCGACTCTCTTCCTTCTTAAAATGCCTTAAACCACCGAAAAACCTGAGCCCTTGACAAAACACTATCTCCGTAGGCCTGCTGAAGTTTCAGGAGAGTTTCCGTTGCACTGTGCCCAAGTCTGAAGCAAAACCTGATAGCACACCGTTGCTCGAAATTGATGTCATTCATTTTTAGAACACAATAGAAAAAACTGTTTCACAAAAACAATCGCTACGCACAACCAAATGACGCGAGCGAGGTCAAACTCGTACTGAAGGTGGATCACATGTTCCTCTGCCGCCCCACTAAGCCCCGCGCTTCCAGTGTTGGCAGATCAAACGCAACGTTGCCAGTCTCATTACTTAATTTACAGACCTCGTATATAACAAGATAATACAACCTCATTTTGACTACTGTGTATTTCTTAACTAGTCAACTACAAAAACTTCAAAACAGAGGTATGAGAACAATTATAAAAACTAATCGTTATACACCTATTGTTTTAATGTTAACTTCACTTCAGTGGTTAAAAATTAAGCAGTGGATTTTCCTGCGCACGATGGTGTTGGTCTACAAAATTCTAAATAATCTTGCACCAGCCTATTTTAATGATTATATTGTTCATCCTAGCAATATTCACCAGTACGCAACTAGAAATAACAATTTACTATATCTCTGTAGAGATAATAGAGGCAGTACAAGGAACTCTCTCTTTTTTAGAGGTTTCCATAGTTTCAATCAACTTCCTGATATTATTAAAAATAGTAATTCTGTTAATAGCTTTAAAACCAGTCTCATTAAATTTATTGAACAACATATGTAATGTTTATATGTTTTAATTTTATGTATTATATATGATAAAGGTAATTGTCTTTATTACTTTCTATTGTAAAATTTATTACTTATTACTTTTTTATATTGTATTTTTAAATTAATATTTGTATATTAGGGTCTCCTATTTAAAATAAATATCTATCTATCTCTACACCCAGGAATGAAGCAAATTCTGCTTTTACTTTTTTTTTCACTCATGTTAGGCATTTTTTTTCACAATATTTCTTAAATTTTCACCTATATTTGTAGAAAAACACTTTTATTTACATTGACACACATAGGGATGTCACCTGTACAGTTTTCGCTCGATCTGTCCGGTTTTTTAAAGGGTTTTTCCCGTATCCGGTCGCATGAAGAAAATGTCCGGGAATATCTGGATAACTTAATAATTTTATTTTTAATACGTAACTAATTTTTTGCTGATTGGTGTATCTTACGACACCAAAAATGTTTGCTCAGTATACTTTTCTAAAAAATCCAAAATTACAAAATTCAAAAATAAATTGAAATTGTCTATACATTTAAAAAATACATTTTTCAACTCACCATCTACAATTTTATTCGAGATTCTTGTACTAACATCCTCTGGTTGTTCTAAAGATCTTTTTTCCCTCCATTGATGTATTTCATCAGCAGAAGTTGCACTGATAATGCCATACAGTATATTTTCCAACAAATCAAATAATTCCTGGTCAGCGTCAGAAGGCAAAATTATTCCTACTGATGAACCTAAAATGTCAATAAAAATAAAATAGATGTACTATAGATTTATAGACCTGTTTTTATTTAAAATGTGTTTTATTTACATCAGTGGCAGCTCGAGACCAAAATATTGGGGGTTCACAACGACAGAATAAATACATATTTAGATAAAAACCTTTCAGTGTTTATAAGTTTCTAAAACACTGAAAGTTCTTTACCCAAATTTGTACAAAGATCTATATTTTGTCATTGTGAACCCCTAGTATTTTGGTTATCGGCCGCCACTGATCAGTTATAATTGTCCAAGTTCTGCGTGTTGGTAAACCATTGGGATCAAGTCCAAGACCAATCAAAGTAGTTTTTTCAAATAGAAATGCTGTTTATAAGATATTGAAGAACAAGAAAATTTTAGAAAATTCTAATATAGTCCAATTAAATAACGAAAAAAAGCCCCTTCAAGCTTACATTAATTTGTAATTGGATGAAACAAAAAGGACCTTGTGTATTTTGATGTGATCTTTCCGAAAAAAAGATGTAGCAGTTGTTCAATTTTTTTTAAATTAGGAAAAACCGGGGTTTCCGAAATTTTCCATTGTAAAAATGCTAATTATCTGGGCAAGTACCATTCCGATAGTGAAAATAAATGCACCATTCGAAAGAGGAGGCAATTTTCTAAGCACAAAAATGCGTAGTTTTCGGTTATATTTCGAATGTCATAGGTCGCATTGCAAATCTGCAATAGTTCACCCTCTGCAAGTGTCTGATGACATAATAAACACAGGCCAGCCATTGCAACCTGGAAACAAAAAAATTATAGCACTGTGATAGAATTTTCTTAATTTAGGAACGTACTTACTCATTAAATTGCTGAGAAGTTCGAAAAGCCACGTGTACACAGAGCTTGCTGAACACGGTTATTAAAAATCTATGCCGATGAACACTATCAAGCGATTCAATTTGTAAAAATATGACCGTTTGAAGTTTAAACTTGTCAGATAGCGAACGCCGAGACCATTACTATCCTTGATGCGACGTGCGGCTAATTTGACGGTAATTCTATATTTTGCACAAAACTCAAGAAACGTCTTATAACAAGTCAGTAAAATACAATCTAATAAATTTTAAGCCTAGTAAATTTAGATATGTAAGAAATTTAAAACTGGAAATCTTCTCAGCGATTAAATGCAGTTTGTACCTACTTGTTCTATCCACCATTTATTGTGCTTCTTGGTGTCAATTTGTATGTATTTTGTGCTACTCTTCAATTATTTAATTCTTGTAGTTCTAAATGCCCCTTTAGTTTCTTTTTCAGTTAGCCAGAAAGCAAAAGTCTTTTTTTAGTAGACGCCAATTGCATGTCGTAAATATTTAGAAATTACGTAGTTAATGTCATTAAATAACTATTTATGAAACCAGTTACGAAATGCCTTATTTTATGTAACGAGTAAATATTTGCAGGACGAACAGAGCGAGGTCCCCCAACATGAATAAGCTACATAATACGACATTTCGTAACGTGTAATAAACAATATTTTTTCTAATTTTGACTAGATTATTTCTAAAATTGTATTGTGGTAAAAAATACTGACATCTAAGCAACCAATATTACTACTTTCTTGTATTGTTAGTTGCATATGAATAATTTTATTTACAAATTTTCAACGGCTTATTAAAGTTATTAAGTTTTAAAAACAGTAGGTTATTTTGTCGTGTATTTTGTTTTAATTATTTTGTGCTAATTCAGAATGCAAAATAAGGACCAAAACAACATTATTACTAGGTCTTCCTCCGATTCAAAATCGAGATTCTCGATATTTCCACAGTTTATTTATAAAACATTCTAAACTGGCTTTATCTATCATTTTATATACTTTATAATATATGTTCATGCCCTACTTTACACTTCATTAACAATTTTTTTAACATACTTCAAAAAGGGAAAATATTCTTAATTCGTTGAAATATTTTTTTATGTATGTTGAGGGATAATTATTTACCACGTTGCCCTATTTCTATGATTCTCTTTTTGTTAGAAAAGAAATGAGAAAATTATCAACATCTTCATTTTTAGGGTAGGTTTTTTAAAATTTCTTTAAACCGTACTGGTTCGCACGCAGTATGGAATGAAGAAATGTAAATAATTGTTGTGCTAGCCTGAAAAACCCTGGATCAATCGAACCCCCTTTAAATAAATTAATAAGAAACGGAACCTATAGCATAAGTACAAGTCAACAAGAGCTGAGGAAGATTATGACGCATACAGAAATCAGAACAATAAACTCAAAAATTTATTGGCTGTATCTAGAAAAGATTATGAACAGAACGTCTTAAAAAGTGGCGAAAAGAAATTTTACTCCTATGTAAAAAGAATACTGAATACAAATAGCACTCAGATCACGCCAAGAAACCCTACAACAAATTTAGCAATCACAGAACCAGCCGCAGAAATATTTGCAGAAAAATTCAGTGCAGCTAAGACAACAGAACCTGATACAGAATCACCGCAAATAACTGCAACAGAAACAGTTAAAAATAGAATAGTAAATATAAAATTTACATCATAAAAATCGAAATTTACAATAGATGGTCTTAAACAAGATTCAAGTCCTGGAATAGATGAAATCTCACCCATTTTTCTTAAACAATGTTCTCATAGCCTTCCTTATCTTCTCGCGACAGTTATGAACGACACAATGCAAAAACAGGAACTGCCAATTGACTGGAAGCAGGCTGTAGTTATGAGAAAGGTGACAAAAAAATCCCATAAACGACCGTCCAGTCAGTCTTACAAGTTACAATAGAAGTAACCGAGTTCACGATGGAACACAGAGTTTTACCAAGTAATCAGTATGGATTTATGCCTAATAGATATGTTGATACAAATCTTCTAAATGCAGCTAACCAGTGGACAGCTTTGAATGACAACAACCAGCCAATTGTCAAACTTTCCTGTACCCGGTAAGTGTAGTATCCGAAGTTACCAAGAGACATCGAAGACTTCCCCGATGCCCTGGATGCTATGGAGATAAAAATGAGTGTCGGTGAAGTTTTTTTGCATATAAATAATCGCACAGATAATAATTTTGTGTGCTTTACTACTAAAACAAATCTGGGCGGAATAAAAGACATTTTTGTTGACGGAAGTGTTTACAGTGCCCCGAAAGTTTTGATCCAAGTGTTCGCGATTCATTGTTTTCATTATAACATTATAAAATCAAATTACAGTAATGTAGTGTATACACGAGTTTTGAATCCCGCGGAGCGCGTGTAATGGGACTTTTGTCGGGAGAATTCTACAACTTAGAAGAAACATACACACTTTAAACTTTGTATACACATTTAGAAGACATGAAATTTGGGTTTGCTTAATTTTCAGACCAAAAAACTAAAAATTGTCAATTTTAGGCAACTTTTCTCAAAAACCGTGTTTTTTGGTCGTCACTCAATGAACAATGTTCAAAAAAATAGATAAAATATATTTGCAGAATTTTCCGTAATCTAATCGTTTTCTAGACACAATAGAGTACTTAAAAAAAGTTTTGAGCCATTGGGTGCATTTTTGGCATTTTTGTGCCACTTCAAACTTTCGAAAAAAAAATTATTTTTTTTTAAGGAAAAAAATTTATTTCATTGTTTGATATCTTAGCCAATTATGGTCCGATGTCGGTAAAATTCACACACACATAAGATTGCACATTTAAGAGTAAGCTTTGTAAGTGGTATTAAAAAAATTCAAATGGTTTGGCCGTTATAGGCAAACAATGAAATTAGGACCGCGGTACACTTTGCCCTTCCGCCATATGCCCAATTTTGGGATTTCTTTTGCCCCCTTCTGGGAATTACTAGTCACATCCCTTAAGTTCAAAACGCATTTTTGTTTTTTCAAATATCTTAATTTCTACCAATGTTATGAAGAATTTAGTGTTTGAACATTTAACAAATTCAATTTTTCGACATTCGTCGCCTCAAAATACTAAACAAATTTCAATCGTCTATACCGCGAGAACGGTGCATTGGATAAAAATTTCTCAAGAGACATAAAAATTAGCATTTTTCCTAAGCTTTCAAATGTCGTAAACTGCGTTTTAAAAATATTGATTTATTTCCGACATGCGCCTGCGCAAAATTGAAAAATTGACAAAATCCAAAATTTCGGCACTTTCGAAAAACTGCTACATTTTGTTTTGCCTTTTTTCGAAAAGATCACCTCAAAATACATAGAATCCATTTTGTTTCATCTAATTACAATTTAATGTAAGCTCAAAACCCGTAATTTAATTCGATTAATATTAAGATAAATAATGATCAAACGAAGATTCAAAGAGATTTATTTAACATGGTGAGAACAGAGCTTGAAGAATGAAGAACTAATGGAGAACAAGATATTAGAATTCAGTTTAAAAACAGCATTCCAAAAATTGTTAAAAATACAACTAAAAAAAACTGATTCTATCCCCATTGCAAATTTACTGTCAAAATGTTGGTGGCTGCTAACTAAATTAAAAGACTTAAAATTCTTTACCAAATTTGTACAAAGATCTATATTTTGTCATTGTGAACCCGCAATATTTTGGTTATGAGCCACCACTGATCAATTATAATTGTCCAAGTATTATTTTTCATGTGAGATTTAATTTCGTCTTCCATTGCCTTAATCCAATCTTCAGTTATTTTGTTCTAATGCTTCTCAGATATTAATGGATCTGGTACTTCTTCCGTAGCTACACATAATCTTGTAAATAGGAAGGTTTTTTGTGATTTTTCGTTGGACAATGAAAAAATTTTGTCAGTAAATTCTACAATAATGCAGGTAAAAAAGGATTTTCTGATATCTGAAGAGTACACTCTCGACTATTTAAAGAATACCAAGATAATAGACAAGCGGATTTTCTATAGGCACAACATTTAAAGAAAACCTAGCTACTGGAGACAAAAGCAACAAAGACAAAAAATTACAAAAAAGTAAAGGGGATGAAACAAAGATTTTTCACCAGAATGTACAGTCTTTGGGAAATGCAGTTGACAAACTAGAAGTTTTTGTAAATGAACATGAATATAAAATCTTAGCAATTACAGAACACTGGAAATCTATGAAACTATTACATGAAATTGGTATAAAAAATTATAATCTAGCATCAGCTTTCTGTCGGGAAGAAAATAAACAATTTATTGTCAAAAAGGACTAAAATTTAAAGAAATAAAAAGAATAACTGAATTGTCAATTAGTGAAGAATTTGAAGTAGCAGCAAGTGAATGTTTTATAGAAAGAGACCAAGTGCTTGCCATTGCAGTTTACAGGCCTGGAAATGGAGACTTTTATGAGTTTTTAAATAATCTTAAACAGCTTTTAACATATGCTTATAGTTAAAATAAATTAGTGTTTATTTTAGGCGACTTTAACATAGATTTAATGGAAGACAAAAACCCATAAAAAGAATTTTGTAAGTTTACTTGATTCATTTAACTTTAAAATATTAATAAACGAACCGACGCGTATCACAATAAACAGAAAGAGTTGCTTAGATAATATTTTATCAAACTATAAGGGTAATTACTCAACATTGGTAGTAGAATTACATTGTTCGGATCATACTGCTCAGGTAACAACAGTTAAGTTAAGTGATAATGTCAATACAGTTTATCATACTTATCGTAGATATTTTACAGAGGCAAACATACAAAAATTCCTTTTAGAGCTAAACAAGACTAACTGGGAAGAGATAGTCAATGTAAACAGCATGCAAATAGAAAAGCAATGGGACTTATTCATTAATATATATATATTTAGAGCAGTTTAATAAAAAATGTTCATTAAATTTTGCAACTGTAAGGAAAACTTGCAAAAATATCAGCTAACACAAGATATTATTAATATAAAAAACCAGCTTGATATATTACTAATTTTAGCTAGGAACAGTGACATGTATAAGGTTCCATACAAATTAATAAAGAAACAATATGATGAATTACTACAGATGAATAAAAAAGATGGTTATGATGAAAGAATACGATTATCTGACAATAAAACTAAATGTTTATGGGGCATATGTAAAGAAATTACTGGAAAGAATGACAAAGAAAATATTGTGATACATGGAGATCCTAATGAAATCTCAAACAATTACAATATTTTTTTATCAAAAATAGTTCCAAAACTCTTAGATAAACTTCCAGAGGTTCCGTACATATGTAGCACCCCAGAAAATAATAAGTCAATTTTCTTAAAACCAATTACACTATCAGAAATAATAGACCTTTCAACCAAAATAAAAAATATACTCAGTAGTGGGGATGATGGAATCCCAGCAAGTATAATGAAACATAGTCTACCTGTAATAAAAAATATTTTGACACTTATAATTAATAATTCCTTAAAATCGGGTATTTTCCCCAAACAATTAAAAACCAATGGTAATCCCTATTTTTAAAAATAAAGGTGATCCAGAGTTACTTGAAAATTACAGACCCATTAGTTTGCTACTGGCTTTCTTTAAAGTTTTTGAATTAGTAATGGTGTCAAAAATCACAAGTTTCATGAAGGAAGAAAAGTTATTTAATAATTTCCAGCATGGGTATATTTCAGGAAGATCTACACAAACAGCAATATTTGAATTCACAACTAATATTATAAATTTTTTAGAGAGTAAACAATACGCACTGGGTATCTTTTTAGATTTAGCGAAGGCTTATGACTGTTTAAATCATGATTACTTAAAAATTAAATTAGAAAAATATGGAATTAGAGGGCCTGCACTAAAATGGATTGTATCATTTTTAGCAAATCGGAAACAGACAGTCAGCATTATGAATAAGGGAAAGCACTTTCAATCGGGAAAAATTAATACCACAGTAGGGATTCCACAAGGAAGCATTATGGGACCACTATTATTTATAATTTACTTAAACGACTTATCATCAGTACCAACTAACACAAAACAAATAATAACAAATTATGCAGATGACTCCAACCTACTAGTGGGAGAGGAAACAATACCAGAGGTAGTGATCAATGGTAATTCACTTTTACAAAGAACAAAGAAATGGTTTTCACAAAACAAGCTGGTACTGAATGCAGAGAAAACTCAATATTATTCAGATCCAAATATAGGCAAATAGATAGACCAAATAATGTTTCCTTGTGCAATCAAGAGCTGGATTTAAGAAATAGCACAAAATTTCTTGGAGTCCATCTGGACGAATATCTTAGCAGGTTGAATTACATAGATAACCTTTCTATTAAGTTAAGTAGGTTAGCATATGGGTTTCGAATCACTAGTAAATATTTGCATAAAAACTCTGTCAACATAATTTACTTGGGTAGTTTTGAAGTGGTATGTAAATATGGCATATTGTTTTGGGGTGGAAGCTCAAAAGTTACAAGAATTTTTGTAATACAAAAAAAGAGTGTTAAGAACTATAAACAAAATGAGTTTCAGAGAGTCATGTAGGTCAATTCTTAAAGAAAACAGCATAATGACAATATATGGGCTATATGAATGTCTATTGTTCATAATGAAAAATAAAAACAAATATATCAGTGAATTAATACCAGTTTACAATACAAGAAGCAGGGAACTCATGTATCCATATCACCGACTCACATTAACAGAGAAAAACTCTCATTACATGTGCATAAAATTGTATAATGCATTACCAGAGAACATAAAAACCATTAAGAGTATTAAATGTTTCAAAAAACGCATACGAGAATTATTGATTGGCATGGAACCTTATAGGATGTTGGAATACCTAAATTATAACTTTAATTAAGTCATCATTAGATAGTAAATTGTGACATCATTTCACCATAATGTTATTTATGTTTATACATTGTCAACATTATTTTTGAAAATAAAGATTATTATTAGTACAAATTAGTCTAACAAAATATGTCATAGGATACTGCGATTCTAATTGGGGCTCAGATACTGAAGATGAGAAATCATACATTGGATATGTATTTAAATTAGGAAACTCACTTATATCATGGAATTCCAGTAGTGTAATAAATACCTTTTAAACAAAAATACAATAATAGACATTGTGGTAATGTATTATTCAGACATACCTGGTATTGTAGCATTCAGATCAGGAAGTATGAATGCTCCATAGTCTGTTCTATAACAAGGAGATACACCAGGCACCAATGGATAAACCCATGTCCCTACTTGCAGAATAGCTTTAGGAGCATTGGGCTCTGTACCTAAAAAAATTACTTGACTTCAAAACGCACCTACAAGATAAAAACCCTTACCTTCCACTAAAGATATTTTCAAAGTTTCCGGTTGCAAAGTAGACAAAACTTCTGCGCTAGGCGAAATGAAATACACTCTAACATTATCATGAACATAAACGACTTCTTCTTTTAAGTTTTGATTGGGATCTACACTCAGTTCTTGTAGAGCTGTTGCTAAATCTTTATAAGTTCTGGGTCCTTCGTCATCTGAAGAGGCCATAGCTTCGTCGTATGAAGGAGGATCTTCGATGGAAATATCCGATTCAAAGTTATACGAGCCTTGAATACAATTTATTCGCGTTAGGACTTCGGCCCTTGTTTTTTTAATTTTTTGTATCATTACACATGCTTTTTCCCATGTTATATCTGGATCTTCTGGACATTGGACTTGTATACTCAATGCCTCGTCAACTAATCTAATACCTTCTTTGTATTGTTCAATAGCCTATTAACAATTTAAATATCCAACTAAGTATACAATAATATAATTTTAAAAATACTTACTTCCTTCGGTTTTTCGCGCTCTTCCAAAGAAATCGCTTGATCGATAGCCTTAAATGCTTCGTCATGTTTGTTTTTGATGAAATGATAAGTTTTTTCCCAAGAATATGTTGGTTTTTTATTAGAAGTATTAGAAAACATCGCCATAAAGTTAGGTTATGTTATGAAAAATCACTAAATACACTAATCAAACAAAATCGATAGATATGTGTACCGTTTTTCCTAAAAATACAAAAATTTGACGTACAACGCGATAAATTATAATTTTAATTTGGACTTTGAACCAACGGATACTTTGCTGCAATCGTTAAGTAAAGTTGTGAAATACGCAAAATTAATTACATTAATAATATTTAAATTTACCGCCTTATTAGACAATTCTAGAATATTGTGTCCTGCATTTCTATTGGTCGATGCTAGCGCCACATGGTGGCCCTTAAAGTTTTATAAAACCACAAACTAAATCATTTAATAAGAAGCGAACTCCGACTATTTCTGCTACAGTAAAAATGACAATCGATTTTCCAAATTTGAGCCAAGTTCAGCAATTCCACGGTTGGAGTATGTCATGGAGTGGTTTTATGTCACTGATAGGAATAAACTACTGTAAAAATATAAAAAATGGGAAGGGTAGGAAACCGAGTTAGAATACATGTGCGAACTTTTTTTTATTTTATTTTATTTATTTACGGAAAATCTCCTTTTACAAAATAATTATTATCAGTAGATATTTTAAACCTAACCTTAAGTATCACACAAAAAAGAAAAAAAACTTAAATATCTTAAATATCACAAAAAAACTTAGAGCTGATGCTAACTCGCTAAGGACCGATTCCACCGTTGTGTTAAACACAACGGTGGAATCGACCCTTAGTACTCCCTCAGCTGATTTTTAAACATAAACCGACTAACTCCCAAAAAGTCAGTGTGTCTGTTAATTTCATTTCCTTGCCTTTGAAATCTGGTTAAAGAACTGCTGAGTCCGTAGTTCGTATGATGGAATCCAATTGAAAATAATGGGTTCTCTCTAATATTTATGTTGTTTAATCTAAAGTTTATTAGTTCCAACATATCCGGACAAGCTATATTCCCTTCCAGGAGGTTGTAAAGAAATAAAAGATCATTACTAATTAACGTTTTCTCAACTGACAATGGGTGCTATGATTGAACGTTTACGTTATCCGTAACGTACATGTTAGGCCGAGTTTTAACATTAACGAGGCAAGTTCGTATGATGGAAAACTTTTTCCAACACATTACTGTTATTTTCCGCTTATTATGTTCTAATTTAACAAATTTCCATCACACAAACTTGCCTCGTTACTGTTAAAACTCGGTCTAACATGTACGTTACGGATAACGTAAACGTTCAATCATAGGACCCATTAAGTCTAAATGGTTATTAAGCTCCCTCTTAGGACCGATTCCACCGTTGTGTTAAACGAAATTTAAAATGACATTTTTACATTAACAACGTCATTTTAATCTCCGCTTAACACAACGGTGGAATTGGTTCTTAGAAAGATAAGGCATATGTAACCTCCACTGACAAGTTCTTAGAAACCTATTTTGAACTGCTTCTAAATTTAAAAAATATGAGTCCGGTAATGAGGTGACTCAGACTGGTGAAGCATATAAGAGGATGCTACGCACTAGTGTTAAGCAAAGGGTTCGGAATGTAGGCATAGAGAATTCCCTAGAGTTCCTGGTCACAAATCCCAATGTTTTCAGAGCTCTACTAATGATGATTCTCATGTGTGGGACAAATGTCAAAGAACTATCGAAGATCACACCTAGATCCTTGATATCACCAACTTTCTCCAAAACAGTAGTATTGATATTATAAAGAAAATTTATAGGGTTTTTTGATCTTGTGAAGGTGATTGAAAAACATTTAAGTGAATTTAAAGACATGCATTATTTAAAGCCCAATTAATAAAATAGTTTAAATCATCCTGTAACTTCAAACAGTCAGATAAGTTTAAGATTTCCATGAATAATTTCAGTTCCTACTATTCGGAACTTACAATATTTAAATCCTGAAGCCACAGCGTTAATAAATATATTAAATAGTAATGGTCCCAAATGAGATCACTGGGGGACACCTGAACTTACATTTATTGGATTCGAAATAAAACTTTTAACTTTGACATATTAAACCCTGGATTGCAGGTAACTTTCTAACCATTTCATTAAGTAGTTTGGAAACCCGAATTTCACTAGCTTCTTATACAGTATGTTAAGTGTCCTGGAATCAAGGGCGGCTCCAGGGGGGGACTATAGGGGCCATGGCCCCCCTTGAGATGAAAATTCTTACCATTTATGGGCCTTTTACTCAAAAAAATATGCTAAAAAGGGAATACCTAAAGGCAATGCCAGCTCCCCCCCACCCCGAAAATTCGTCTTAGAACCGTCCTTACCTGGAACTACACCAGAAGAACGGTATAAAAAAATAGAAATAGTATTGGTTGGAGAGAGGTAAAAGAATATGCGCCATCGCACTAGCGGTAGAAGCGTATTGATCTGTTCAGTCACGGCAGAGCCACCTGATTCACGAGAGTATCTTTTTATTTAACTTACGTGCAACGTGCAATTAACATAATTAGGCGTCTCATCTTCATTTCGACGGATCCATGAGTTAATATTTGTATGTAGTTGTAGAATAGACTTTACTGAAGCAGTGGCGACTGAAGCAGTGGCGGCTTGTCCTAAGGGGCCAAAGGGCCTTGGCACTGGTGCAAAATTGTAAATATTTTGGTCTCTAAAAATATTTCTTTTTATATTAATTACAATAATAATTATTACAATTGTCGGATCAAATTATGGCTAAACGTTTTATAACCTAGAACAAAGTAAATCTTGCTTTGATGTTTTTTTCCCCTTAGGTTATTTGTATTCAGGTACTTTTTTACATTATTTTGATTATTTTCACCAATCAAAAAAAATACACTTTATTTCACATTGGGTTTGTTCCAACAACGATCATAAACCAGTGATAGCCACCAGGATTCGGAGCAGTAGATTATTAGGACCCCAATAATATACTGCGCATAATCCTGATGCCAATAACTGGTTTCGGATCATTGTTAGAACAAACCTATTGACTTACATAGAAAATTAACGTCACCAACGTTTGACCCGCCAACTACAGTCAATTTGGCAAACTTTATAAAAAGAAGGACGGAAATTTGAAATTTGTTCATTGTCGTTTCGCCTCCTTCTCTCTAGTCTTCATAGTCATGTACTAGAGAGTAGCGTTCGGATTAGCCAGGGGCTGGAACGGGACAGGAACGGAGTTTTTTTAGGATGCTTTAAAATGATATTTAAAGCTTGTTGAATTATCACTAATCGGAATAAAGAGAACAATAAAAGGGTCGTTTGGCGTTAAAAGAGTGTATGAAATTTGTCCGAACTTACCTACTGCTCCGCGAAAGCTGGATATTTTTTTAAATCCTTGATTTTCGGGTCCGCGAACGCTTTAAATAGAAATTTGCATGCTCATCTGTCGTGGATCGATGACAAGCTCCGCGAACAAAGCTATTGGTATTCCCTTCTTTATTTTCTATGGCCAAGCGCATGGACATTTTGACTTTTGACAGCCGGTTTTTTCTGTCATTTTAATTCATCCATTTTGTGCTGTCGCACGTGAAGATCAAAGTGCTTGAATAGAAAAAAAACCGAAAAAAATGTTGTCAGCGGCACGGGCCATTAGCAGAAAAGCCGTCGATTGTTCAAAATTAAGTTTCGAAAAAAGCGGAACCAAAAATTTCAGCCATATTTTAAATAAGGTAATTTACATTGACTGTTGAGTTTTTATAGATTTTTTCTTTTTTTATGGTTAAATACCGCATGTAATGTTACATAATCGAGTTAATGATATTTTTGAAAATGTGTAATAGTTTTTTTTTCGAGTAATATTGCTTGTTTAATAGTTAGAAAGTGAGGTTAAAACTTCCTTGGACATTGCACAACTACGTATTATAATACCTAGATAAGAACTTATTAATTATTAAAATTTAATTTTCAGAGATACCCACTGTACTCTTTAAGTCCTAAATATGACAGTCATTTACGAAACAAGTAAGTTTTTCATCCAAACTTACAACCACAAAACAAATTTTAATAATCACCAACTTTTAGATCTGAAGGAGTTAAAGGTGCCGTTATCGGTATTGATTTGGGTACCACGAACTCCTGCGTGGCCGTCATGGAAGGTAAACAAGCCAAAGTAATTGAAAATGCAGAAGGTTCCAGAACCACACCTTCAGTGGTTGCTTTTTCAAAAGATGGAGAACGTCTGGTTGGTATGCCCGCTAAACGGCAGGCAGTCACTAACTCAGCCAACACATTTTACGCCACAAAACGTCTGATTGGAAGGCGATTCGAAGACGATGAAGTTAAGAAAGATATGTAAGTGTTTCTTAATTCTTTTTAACCAGTTTTTACGGAAGCTGTGAGAGATTGTATATTAGTAGAAGTAAGTATATATAGTGTGGATAATCTAATGAGTGTTCCCATTTAAAGATTTTTGACATATTTAGTGGGGGAGCAATTTAAAGATTGAGTACATTTTCTTTTTCTTATCTCTGCATCTACTTTGGTATTTACACAAAGTGACCCATATAAGGTGGAAGCACCCCTGTGGATTAGGATCATAGAGGGTCAAAAAATCTCTCACAAATCTTCAATAACGGACTATATAATAATAAAATTATTTTTTTATTTAGGTAAGCCAAAAAAAAAGAAACCCTGGATTCTTTGTAAAAGTTGTCAAATATTTTTTTCAAATCAATCCATGCATTACTCTGTAAATCCAGTTCTTAAAGTCAACAGAATTCAGTTATTTTTTAAAGAAGTAGGTATTTGTTTCCATCTTAAATTGGTACACTATATAATTTATTTACTCAATTAATTTTATTTTAGTAAAAAAAAATACAAATATAAATTCATAATACATTTAAAAGTAGTCTTAAAAATATTGGTTGTTCTATACAGCTCTATCAGAATTATTTATTTATCAATGAGCAACTGCCCAATGTTATGTCTACCATCTGTAGATGTATTTTTTCTATTGGTTATTGACTACTATCGATAAGGATCATTTACAAAGATTGAGTTGGACAGTACCAAAATAAAAGAACAGTTATATGGGTCTTAGACCATTTGGTTACTCAACACCCAATTAAAATATAAAATACAAGTTTAATAAAAGGGAAAATTTCAAACCTAACCTACACTTGGGGAAATGTTGAAAGATTACCATAAAATTAACATAAACAAGAATAAATAAAATATTTAAAAAAAACTCTTGTAACTAAGTTAAATTAAATTATATTAAATTATCTAGATCTAAACACATCAAAATATCACACATGATTTAAGCTGCGATTTAAAGACTTTTTGTTTATGAAAGCAGTCCAACCTGTTAGAATACTGATTAGCAAATCTACCCAACCTTGATAGAAAAGAATTATGTTGACTTAATATTAAAAGGCTGAATAAGCCTTGTTTAGAAGGAACATGAATATTCATTTTTTCCAATAGCTTTGGACTAAGTAGATTGTGGAATGTGGTAAGATGTTTGTGCTTCTGATCTGAAGAGTGGATATATTATGGGAACTTTCAACACTCGGGGACTGCCGTTTTATCAACTTATGCAATTATAATTATTTATTTATTTTATTTATGCAGTATTTTTTTTTTCTTTGATATTAATTCAAGTTTTTTCTTTGACATTAATTCAAGTTACACTTTTTGAGCGTGGTGACCGATAAATTGAATAAATGAGAAGTTAATATTGTTTAAAATATTTTTATTATCTTACAATATTTGTAGGTTATTCAGGAATTTTTATCATTGAAACTATAGGTTTATGGTAACCGAAATAAGAAACATAAGTTTGAGACTTGATATCCTCTAAATATCTGGAAAATACCGCATCAATGGTGGTCCCATATTATTTTGTTGTGGATTCTTGTGGATCATTATTCATTTTCAAATTCAATTTTTCCGAAATTGTGTCTAAAAGATATAGAATCAGTTATGAGCAGTTAGCAGCTAGTCTACACGCATCCGTCTAGTCGCACGCACACAAACACCCTGCCGAACTGAAACGACGTTAGACGATGCACGGCTTTCAACGCCGCACCGCAGTGCCGGTCGGAGTGGGTGTTAGGTTTATTTTCGTTACGGAATTTCTTTTTCGATTTTTTGATTTTTCGATTTTCTTTTATTGAATAAATGAGAAGTTAATATTGTTTATCGCCGCACCGCTGTGCCGGTCGGAGTGGGGGGGGGCGTCAGGTTTATTTTCGTTACGGAATTTCTTGATTCAGTCGCTGCGCTCAAAGCACTCGATAAAAGTTATGCAATAGCTTAAAATGTGTGTTGATCTTTTTCAGTGGCTTTATTATGAACATTGTAGTGGGGGGACCAGACACATGAACAGTATTGTAAATGAGGCCTCACAAGTGAACAAAATAATATTTTAATGGATGATACTTCTAAAAAATCCTTAGCGCCAGCGTTTAATAAAGCCTAACATTTGAAGTGATTTTGAGACTTCCATGATAAGAAATATATTCGTTCAGTTGAATGCAGTACACTTTTTCATTTTGTAGTCGGTGCTTAGAATAGCTAATATCCATGTGGGTGTAAAAAAAAAATATTTGGACCCTCCACCTCTCAAACCTGCCTGTGTAAACATATTTGGTACTTTAGGGCCCCTTCCTATGCAATAATATTTTATCCATTTATACCTTATCTAAAAATATGTGCTTCATTTTTACCTTTAGCCCAGGATTCGAAAATATATCACATGATATAAATCATTTTTAAAAATTTAATTATTTAATTCAAAAACAGTATTGTTTCTTGCAAAAACTATATTTTAAATTTTAACACAAACACATTAACAAAAACCTATATACAAAACAACAAAACCGTTTGTTCTAACTCAAATTAAAAAGAAAAAAACAAAAATAATTAATTAAATAAACAGATTTTAACATTGATATTAGTATATCCTCTTTTGATGAAAGCTAATTTTAAAGAACATATTCGAAATAAATTATCATCAAAATCAAGAAGATATTTTTTAGAACCACATAAAAACACTTTTATTCATGTTTTACTATTTTTATAATTTCCCAATTACAAATAATTCTCAGCACGTATTGTCACAAAATAATTTTCAACAACAAATAAGAACTGTCTCTGGCAATCGCATGTAAAATAGCATGCGCATTGGGTTCCATTCAACGGACATGTCGCGTGCAGCTGCTATGTTGTGTCCTGTTCTATCACACGGACTTCGCAAGTTTTACTTTCTCTCTCGCACATATTTAATTGCTCCGATTTTAAAACTTTAAAGCATGGTATTAGTATTCCATGAACAGTTTTTTGCAGGCAAGCCTATACGATTATTTTCGTAATAAAATTATCTCTCTTCTGATATCAATTTTTATTGGTTGACATATCGGTGTAGTTACCTATATTGACTTACTTATCTGTTCATACATGCTTGCTAGGTAGCCATGAACAGAAAGAAGTAAACAAGCCTACCGAGTCATATTCTCCATATTAAAGGCTATCTGTTAAAATTAAATTTGTTCGGTTAACAGAAAAGTAAAGGTTATAAAAAAAATTGATTAAAATTTAATTAAAAATAGCCATGAACACTTTTTGAATGGCAAGTTCCCATAGGCGTGTTAATAAATCAATAAAATTTCGTAAAAAAATATGTCTCATCTGGTTATCAGATGAGTGAAGGTCGATCTTCCACGGTCTCCTTTACTATAAGTAATTGTTAAAGTTAAATTGTAATTAACAAAATAAAGTGTTTTTTAAGCAATTTAAACTGACATTTAACTAATTTCAATATTAACATTTTTTTTTTTTAAAGGTTAGTATTGAATTTTGGTAATTTTTAGGGATTATGATAGAAGTTTTTTTGACACAAATTTTTTATAATTCTGTAATATTTGTAACATATTTTAAACAATTGAGAAAATGGAAGAAGTGTCATTAAAAAAGTACCTACGGTTCTAAGGTTGAATTAAAATGTGCTATTAGCATTATTTCGTATATTGTAGACCACCAAAAAGAGTTACAAACTATCTACTATCACTTTTCAAAAAATGGGGCTAGAAAATTATAAGTAATTAGTTAAAGTATACCTTTCTTGTCCATTAACTTAATTCAAACTTTTAACACATAATTGAAAAATACCTATTTTTTTCTAATTTATGTAACTTTTAATGGATAATTGAAAAATCGGCTGTTAATTATTAAGTACCAAAATTAGAAGTAAATTAATACATTATTTAAGTTCTAAAATATTCACGTTGCAAACAGCATATTCAGTACTAAATTTAGTTACTAAAAAAATAAATAATTTCTCTATTCTCCCATTTAGTAAAAAATGTGTCAAAATGTTGCATAGAAGTTTTTCACAGAAAAAGTTGACAGTTGACATGACAGTCTTTTATGTACCATTTTATTTTTGGTTAGCGACAACTTTGCATCATTGCCTTGAATAAATTTGGCTTGAGTTTGTTTTGTTGTAGGTTTTATTGTGTTTTTTCGTGATTGCATTGCTGTATTTGGTTGTTGTTAAGTCAACTAGTGTCAAATTTATAATAAAAACACCTTTTATTTCACTTGTCTATTTTACACAACATTTTATTTCTGTGCTAATTTTACGAAATAATATGCTAATGCGCGTGCGCCTGTACTTAAGGTTTATCTTACCCAAACAAAAAATTAATCTTATGGTCAAAAATTTTGAAAAAATCACCCATGGATAAATTTTGAAAAAATCTGGTAAGCCTTAAAAAATGGTTCAAAAATTTTATTAAGTCTTCAAGATATAGGTACATACAGTCTGTTCGCTATACTTACGCGGGTTTCGGATTAACAAAATTATGCAAATTAGTCATTGACAACCAGTTCCAATAAGCCTCTTCCCAAGAAATTAGGTAAAATTGCCCTAATGGTCAGATTTAAATTAAAATAACATTAGGGTAGGTACTAAATTTGTTACAAATATTGCAGTTGAATTGATTCTTTGCAAGTATTGACATTTCATGTATATTGTAAATTTAGTGGAAATTTTAAAAATGCCTAGACGTGTGTTAGATGTAGATAGTCTAATTTGTAGTGTACATAAGTATTTTACGAATGAAAAAGAAAATGGTGGTCCTTTAAAATCGGTAATGTCTGTACAACAACGCGTATGCGATGCTCTAGGAATTAGTGAAACCAAATTAAGAGGAGTATTACAAAATCACAATGGTGAACTACCGAAAGAAGATCACCACAAGACTCGCCCATCATTGAAAACGAAAGATATTCCAGATGGAAAAAAATTTGAAATTCGTGATACCATTTATCGAATGAGGGCCAACAAG